TGTAGAAGAAGATGAAATGAATGTGAGAAAGGCTGGAAAAATGAAAATCCAGACCTGTGTTTTTTCATCAAAGTCTTTTGCTAAGTTCTTGTTCTTAAATCTTCTTCATCCAAAAATCTATCAGGTATCTCCAAATAAGTGATTTTGATGGACTGGAAGCTTTGCCAAATAGGTTTGGAAACTTATCCTCTCTTCAAACTCTGGAGATTTCCAACTGCAAATCTCTGAAACATATGGAAGCCATTCAATGCCTCTCCAAATTAGAAAGGCTTTCTATTTATCACTGCCCTGAGTTAAAGGAAAGATGCACCAGTGAAAATGGTTCCGAGAAGATCATCATAGACTTCGAAATGATCTAATGCAAAAGAGATCTCATAGAGGTATCTTCAGCCTTTTAACTATATGTAGTAGTAAACCTTTTTTCTTTAATTCCCTTTCTTCCTGATTGATTTCAATTATGCATTTACCTTCTTTCAATCTTTTAGGTACTAGTATTAAATCCTTTTTTATTTTTTCAATTTATTTATAGTACATAGCAACTAAAACTAAATTTATTATCTACTACCATTGTTACCTACAATTCAAAAGCAATTTAAGTTGATAATTTCTTTTCACTTCACCATATGTAATTTCAAGTTTTAAAATGTTATACTAATAATTTCTCCATTCAAATGCTCTACTTCAGCTGCATCAGGGTGATGATAATGGGCAATTACCAGCAGGTATTGTGAGGTTGGGACGCTACCTTTGTTGCAGAAACTAATAAAACAGATAGTAAAATCAAGGTGCAAAATGTGAAGGCAAGCATCATGGCCTCGTAGCCCAACCCAGACCATAAACTTCAATGTTGATTTTGAGGTTAGACTTTATTTGCCAGATTCAACCTTATTATGCAATTGGTAATGAGTATGTTAGATTTTTAAAGTAAGAAGAAGGGGTTGAGAGAGAACTTGGAGGAGAGTAGGAGAAGAGTAGAACTTAGAAAATGATATAGAACATAAACATTGAAAGGTGCGGACACTCACCCAACCAGGAGGACAGGAGAAGTTGTTCTCCAACTCTCTCATATTTCCATTAACATGTCTGCCCATTTATAGCAGAAAGTTCAACATAAAAACAATATTTTTTTCCTACTTTCCATGATTTATGGACACATGTTTCCTACAAAATCTATCCTAACATTTAATCGAGGATTGTAATACATAAACTAACATAAAAATGTTCATTAAAACACTATCACATTTCTGCACTTGTGTTGAGTAATTTGCAGCCTTCATTTGCATTTCATTTTCTTCCATAATGCAACAGTTTGCTGCACTTTTCTTTCCTCTATTGAAGCAGCTTTGTTGCTACACATTTTGTCCCATAAATGCAGCTTCTTGCTGCACCATTTTGCTGTTTTGTGGTAGCAACATCACAAGTTTGATGCCACTGCTCTAACAGAATAGCATCAAAGTTTATCAATGAACTCACAACTCACAAGTCTTATTCTAGTAGTGCATCACTTCTTTCTTCTGCCAACTTAACTATGAGGATTGAGGAAGGTTGCTGCTGATTTTTTTAACATTTGTAAAGTATTTATTTGTGTAGGGTGAAAATAACAAAACTCTGGTTTCAGCCAGGCATAAAAGAGGATACAACTGTAAAAAATGAAGTTGCTCAAACAAGTATTGTGAATGCATTCAGGTCTATCAAATGTTAGTTGTCTCATTCTGTATAAGATTACTTATCTGATGTGTGGATAATGTATGTTGTGTATAAAAGCTACATCATTTTACAGGTCTCTAATTCTTCAAATTAACTTGCAAGTAATCAGTCTCTAAAACCCTTCTTTCAATCTAGAGCAGAAGTTATGTTGGTGACAACTTGCTGAAAAGCCAAAGAACCAAGCAGCACAATCATCTCAAAAACCATGGAGACCTTTTGATTTTTATAAGATCCATACATGAATTCAGGTCAGCTATGCTTTCCTTGTAAACTTTTCTCTCAAAATTTGACTTCATCTCTATTATATGACGCATTCTTCATTTAAAATTTTGTGAGCTTTTTATTCTCTCATTGTTTTTCACTTCTTTTTGTAATGATATACTTCAATTTTAGAAGTATTTTTTTATCAATCAATGACTGGTATTTGACAACTTATAATTTTCATTTGGTACTAACTATTAGGTTCCTTGATTACATTCCTATAATTCAGCACCAGCTCACTTCCCATTTCTTAATATATATAGTTGCAGACTTGTAAATATAGTAAATTTTGAATTCAAACTTGGAAGAATCTGCAACTAAGGGGGATTCAGACCATGGAGATAGAAACGGAAAGCAAGCTAGTGTAATTAACTTTTGAATTTTTGGTTCATTTAAAGCATTGGTTTTTCTTTAATTTTATAGACTAATGTTTGTGGTTATGATCTAGATTGTTGGTTGTTTTAATATGTCCACAGGAATGCAAAACATGGATTGGAGTTCTTTTAGGTGTCATGGTTTCAATAAGGTTTGATTGCTGTGATTGTAGGCCATCCATTGGCCTTGAAACACCTAACTAATGCTCATCGAACAAGCAAAAAGCAATTAGAAAGCCGCTGTCATCAAGAGAAATTAAGAATGATTCTGGTATGTTCCCTGAGTCTCAACCATTTAAGCGTGGGCTTTCTGATTTTTTAATCTTTTGTTAATTAGTACAATGAGCATAGTCTTATGGTAAAACTAATTGAGATTCTTCCTTTAAAAGTTATTGGACCATAAGGTTTTAATCTCTTGGAGGTGCTCAATTTCAGTCAGCTGGGAGAATGACAAGATGTTGATCAGTCTCTTATACCTTGAGTGGGTAAATCACTTCTAAGTTCAATTTGTTTCAAAGAATGGCAGCTGATACAAAGTTGCTCATGGACTTCCAATTTGTCGGTCTCTTTCTGTTGAGTTGTCATCAACTAAGCTGTACCCCAGGCTCCAGGGACATCTCAACCTATAGTGACTCTTTAACTCCTTGAAGGTCTGTCTTGAGTAGAATTATGATTAAGCTTGAAATTCATTTAAAATAGATATACTTTTCCATAATTCTTCTTATTTCTCATTTCCATTATCATTGCTACTTTGTGATGCTCTTGTAATTGACTTCAAAGTTCTCATGTTTTAACAAATGAACAGCAGGGAATTCAAGATGAAAACAAAAAGAGTCAACCATGACAACCAGTAGCTAACCATGGAGATCAATGGTATACTATTGTAGACCCAGTGGTGGCGAACGTAATTTGTTCAATATCTTTTTTGTCTTGAAATGGTGATGAAGAGATTTGAACCTACTTTCCAACATAGGTCGCATCTCTCCGGTTACTCAGCCAACACCTGTAGTGTCATTTGTGCTAGCAACCCAGTGATGATATGGCAAGTCTCGAAAGTGAAGAAATGTCATCCAGATCAATCAATGCAAAGTGGAGGATGCATAAATATTTAAGGCAATCAAGTGCCATATTCTGTCAAATTAGTTGCTAACTAACAGACATGAAATGTGGAAGGCCAAGTTAAACTTGCTACTGCTGTCTTGACTTTTCATTGCAATAATGGATGCATTTGCTATTGAGTACAAAAGAGCGTTGTGAGATTGGGTGTATTAGGAAGCTTCTAACGAAGCTAGGGTCGAGATTCTAGCAATTGTATCCATTTCTTTACATGGTAAAATTTCTACTCGGCTCTTCCAGTGAAATTTTGTAGTTGTTCTTTTATCGTTCTTCACCAGAAAAAATTATCTTCAATGAATAAAAGATTGTGATGGTCCGCGAGCAAGTACAAAATACCTGGTTATTTTTCATAAGTAAATGTAGGGGCTGAAAAAACCAAGTGCAACTTCAGTACTATGGTTGCAGGGGCAATAATCACAAGAATTGGAATTACTCATAATCTCGGTATATTCAGGCAGACACCGGCTTAATGCATGTCAAAAATGCTTAAAGAGTACAAGGGTTATAAATGAACAAAAAATACCAGCAATCAAAATTAGACAAGGTTAGTAACTAAAATCAAGTTTTTTTCTGCCTCTTTATTCTCTCAAGGGCTCCTAGACGGCTCTCACTTTCCCTATCTTTGGCTGATACAATATCCTCATCCCCATCTCCGTCACCATCGTCTCTCTTCCTGATAAGACCTCCAAATACAGCAGATGGAACATCTTTCTGTGCAATTTGGTGCAATTACAAACTCTTTCTTCATCTTCAGAATCACTTTCTTCTGGCAGATCAATGTCTTCAGTGGCAACCGGTGTCATCCCTCCATCAGTCTGGGACTCCACCCCAGCACTAACAAACCCCACTTTTCTGCTGCTGTCTTTAGAATTGACTTTTTTGGATACAGGGGCCAATTGCCTCTCAAGAGCAGCCATCTCTACCTCCGGGACGCCAGCATGCTTCAATTTGTCCTTTGCATCATCAAGGGTCAATGACTGATCCTTCTGCATCATGTACTCCGGCAGAACGAAGTGTGTCTGAAAAATCAACAAAAATGAGAGTTAGAATAAAAGATAAAAAGCAAATCTCAACTAAAATTCGAAAGATTAGGCAAGAATAAAAAGATAAACCCAGATAATGCATCTAAAAACTAAATGGGAAGGTTTTGTATTTATACCATAAACAGTATCTAAAAACTAAATGGGAATTCCAAAGATTCTGTATGAACAAAAGGAAAAACCCATATAATGTATCAAAAAACTAAACGGAATTTTTTTCGTATAAAGGCTTACCTGGCTATAACTTGCGGAAAACACTTCTTTTGGTTCGCAGCATTTCTCTGAAGGTATCTTCATTTCCATGCTGAACCTCAAACTCATGCCACTTATTCCGAAAATCACCATCAGTGCGTGGATCTGCAAATTGAGATGCAAACACATATTCCCCTAGGGCGGTCAATATCTCCCAAGCTCTTTTCTGGCTATGCATATTTCAAACACAATGTCTTAACATCTTTATCTGGAAGACTAGACTCTATGGCCTGCTCACAGATTTCTCTTGTTTTAGGGACGCTAAGTATCTCAGCAGCACGAGCAATGTACATCTCAGACATGAGTGGTTTTTCTTCATTTGGTACTGCCTTGGTTGCTGTTATGGAAACAGATCCTGTTATGGGAACAAATCCTGTCAATTATAGCTCGTGAATCTGCTGTGAATCTGCACTAATTACAGTAACTATATTCAGCATTATATGCAGGAGCGTAGTTTCTGTCTCAATAGTTGCCTCATCATAGACCTTCATAGCTCGCTTTGCTAGACCAGAATCCTCCTCCAATTTTGCGTATTGAAGATAAAAATAAATAAATAAAAGCAGTATCAGCATCATAGCACATTGATAATACACACTTTGTAAAATTTAGATTCAGTTTCAATAGAAGCTCTTGAAAGTGCAGACTGCAGAAGGATAACATCTATTAAGTCACAAAGTCATTCAACTACTAATGAAATTATCCTCTCCTACACCCTAATTTTTCTGCCAAAGAAAGGCCATTTCGGTGGCTTCCTGGCTCCGGCCGCCGTTTCTGTATGTTATAATAAACGGTATCATCATCACCATCGTGGCGTCCGGCGTTTGAGTACGAGGTGAAGAGTAGTAGATCGGATTTCGGTGCGATGGAGCCGAGCGTTGTGGTGTTTGAGCAGAAGCAGAGAGAAGCGGTGGAGGCTGGTGATTGTGTGGAGGATAAGAATGTGGTGGTTGAAGATGTTAATGGAGATCGAGGAGATGGGTTTGTGACCTCGAAATCCGAGTGGAATCCGCTGAGGAGGGATGGACTCGTTGGAGATTCCACCGGAGATTTTCTTGCCGGTGGAGAAACCTCTGGTTTCTGCCAGGTTCGGTCACCGGAAACTTGTCAATAAAGCCAGTCCAGAACGTATTAATCTTTTCTGTCTAATTTTATTTTTAGAAATAATGGTAATGGCTTGAACTTGATCAGTTATCTCCTCTCATTTCTAAGTTTCGAATTGCAAATTTTGAAAAAAAAAAAGAAAAAGAAAAAAGAAAAGAAGGATTCAACCGGCTTTTCGGTCGTCGTCTGTGAGATTTCTCTGGCGGGGCTTTTGATTTTTGTGTTCTTCACAAGAAACGTTATTTTCTTGCTCAAAACATGCAACAATGGCGGCTGCTTGATGCACTGCTCAAAAGTCCAAAATATCCTTCCCCTGCATGTTTAAATTTCGGAATCAAGATTGACAAAATGTTAATTTCGTTAATAATTCTTTCTGTATATTCTATTTGTTGTTAACTAGGTGGTCGATCGCTGAGAGTCGAGAAGCCGAAACGGCACAAGAAGATGGAGAGCACGTGGAAAATGATTACAGAGAAGAAGGAAATGCCGTAATCGAGGCACCTGAAGAAATCAGAGACGTTCGAGGACACATGGGAGAATTAGGTGAACGTGGATTCGCTCGCTGAGCCATCGCCGGTGGTGAAGAAATAGGAAACGTCTAAGGACCAGACCAATTTCTAGATGTCACCGGTGCAAGTGAGCTCGTCGCCGGCTTCAGTATTGAAGCTGAGAAAGGAACCGTTGCTGAGTCAGGACGAGTAGAATCGACGAGTTGAGGCATTTATAAAGAAGTTCAACGAGGAGATGAGGTTGTTGAGGTTGGAATCGCTTAATCAGTACCAAGGAAATGATTAACCGGGGACGCCACTAAATTAACCGAGGGGTAATTACGAGTACTAATTTTTACTAGTATCATATAGAGCAGATAAAGTGTGTTTTGGCCCTTTTGGGGAAAGGAAAAACGTATTATTAATTCCAAAAAGACAAAGGGGAAAAGAACCGGGAATATGTTAATTAATTTTGCTAATTTTGTTTTCTCCAATAGGTTCAACGTTGGAGTTATTAAAAAAACAAAAGTCTTGAAACCTTTTTCCTTTTTTAACTTAGATTTCATAAGCAGATGTGGTTTGAAAATTAGTAAGATCATAGAAATGTTTGCAAAGGAATATAACAAGTAGATGTAATGTGTTTCATATATATGAGTGAAATGATGTTTTTTATAATTATTTTATTGATATATTTATTTACAATATAATATTTTGTAATTTTAATTACTTTGCATTGTAAAATACAAAGTATATCACATTAAGAGAGTCTCCTTGCATCTAGAGGCCTGTCCGAGCTATTGGTTTACATTAGGCACCCTAATTATATAACACTTTTTTCAATTTATTTATGTTATATATTTTTTTTTTATATCTTAAAGTTTTTTATTTTATTTTAGTTTTTAATCTATTTAATTATCAAATGAGAGAAAAAGAATGGATTCATTTTTTTCAATTCAAATATACTGTAAAAAAAAATCTAACTTGATTTTAAGTAATATCAAAATTTAAAATTTTTAAATATTTTTTTAATTATGATTAACTAATATAAAATTTCGACTTTTTAGAGTTTTACTATTTTTGCAACAATAAGATTTTTAACCTATTCAATAGACTTTATTAAGGTTCTGTTCATTTCCATTGGTGTGCTGTCTTTGGCTTTCGGATTGAAGGTCTCTGTTCCATTGGTTCTGGATTTTTCTGTGTTTCAAGCTCCGGTTATATGGAGTTCGGTGGCTTCCTGGCTCCGTCCGCCGTTTCTGTATGTTATAATTAATAAACGGTAGTAATTCTTTTGGTATACAAATTCCATTTATTGTTAATTAGGCTTTCGATCGCTGGGAGTCGCGAAGCCGAAACGGCACGAGACGATGGAGAACACGTGGAAAATGATTACGGAGAAGAAGGCAATGCCGTTGTCTAGGCACCTGAAGAAATCAGAGACTTTTAAGGACACATGGGAGAATCAGGTGATCGTAGATTCGCTGGCTGAGCCGTCGCCGGTGGTGAAGAAATCGGAAACATTCAAGGACCGGACCAATTTCCAGCTGTCAACAGCGCAAGTGAGCTCCTCCCCGGCTTCAGTACTGAAGCAGAGAAAGGAGCCGTCGCTGAGTCAGGACGAGTTGAATCGACGAGTGGAAGCGTTTATAAAGAAGTTCAACGAGGAGATGAGGTTGCAGAGGCAGGAATCGCTTAATCAGTAAAAGGGAATGATTGACCGTGGAAGCTAGTAAATTAACAAAAGGGAAATTATTACTAATTTTTACTAGTATCATATAGAGCAGTTAAAGTGTGTTTTGGGGAAAAAAAAACATATTATTAATTACAAAAAAGAAGGGAGGGGGGAAAGGACGGGGAATATGTAAATTAATTTTTGTAATGTTGTTTTCTCCGATGGTCTGATCGTTTGAGTTATTGAACAAAAAAAAAATGATGTCTTACAAACTTTTTTCCATTTTTAACTGAGGGTGGATTTCATTAGCAGATAGGGTTTGAAACTTGTAAGATGATAGAAATGTTTGTAAAGGAAGATGACAAGTAAATGCTCTTTTGTTTCGTATATCCGAATGAAATGATCTTTCTTGCTATTATTTCATTGATATACTTATTTAGTTACGATTTATATCACTTTAGGAGGGTCTCCTTACATTTAGAATGCTCGATACTTCTTTTGAGTATAAAGAGGAAAATATTGTGATCTTCACTCCCCTGTTTTATTGATAATTGATTTTTTTCACTATTTACCACAAAACTTTGTTAATTAATTAAAAAAATTATTTTACAATTCAGATCATATTGAATTATAAAATAATAATATTTAAATTAAAAAAAAACATTTAATATTAGATATTCCTCTCATTTAAAGATCTTAATTTTATAATATGCTGCAATCCGAACTGTAACATAGATAATCCATTAATTAGTTAATGTTATTAACGTAGAAAAACGGAAAATAAGATGTGGGAAAGACAAATCGGGCTTTACGTTTGAATTTGAAAAATAAAATTGAGCTTAGAAAGCCCAACAGGAAACCTCAGCTTCTCCACTTGAACAGGCCCAATACTAAATTCTGGAGAGAAATGGCGCAGTTAAATTCGCGGCAAAGAAAAAAAAAACATTTTGAATTTAGAAAAATCTGGAATCGTACACGGGTAGAAAGAAGCCCAACAGGAAACCTCAGCTTCTCCATTTGAA